AACAGAGGTTCTCCAAACAGCTGTGGAAACACTGCTGTGTGCAAGAAAAGAGGAGGGAGAGAGGGGGGCACATGAAAGGAGAGTTATTTGCGGCTCTCTAGGCTGGACCTCACTTTGCGTTCCCACCTGGAAGGCAGCCTTCATCAGGGGGATGCCAGTTCCATGGGGTTTTACAATTTATTATTCAGGAATAATAAATCATCACTAGAGAAATATATCTAAAAGCTCACCGTAGCTAACCTAACAATGTACAAAACAAAAAGCAGGGCCATATCTCAAGCTCTGAGGAACCGTGGTTACAGCCACAAGGGGGGAAAGACTATTCATGGGGTCTGTGGTAGGGGGACGGGCCCCTTTGGGAGGGCGTCCAGAGCACCTAGGAGTTCAGCTTCAGCGTATAGCTGTACTGATCTAACAGTTCTCCACTGCTGCTGCTGTAGCTTCAGCCTTTGTCCACATCCTGGCATCAATGCTGCTGTGTCTCTGATCCCATGCAGTGTGTCACCAATGGGTGTAGTCCCATGGCGTCTGGATATGGTGGCCAGAGCTGGGTACTGTTAACAGGGTTCCAGGCTCGATAAAGGGTGAAGAAGGCTTTGGGTTCATCCAGGAGGTCCAGTTGGGAGGGAAGTAGAGGGGGCCAGAGGCAGCCCTGCAGACTAGGCTGCAACACGTTGGAACAGGCTCCAACAGGTTGGAAAAGCTCTTTTGCTTCCTTTTCCTCATATGTGTCTTCAGTTATTTCTTCCTGAGCATATTCCCATTTTTTTTTTGCATGTTAGTCACCTCTGCTGTGTTTTCGTGCACAGTAATCCGTTCTTCTTTTGAGTTTAGGGAGAGTAATTATTTCTGATTAATAGGCCAATAAGCAATGAAAAGTGAAAAATTTCAAGCACTTTTGTTTATTGATGTGAGAAGGTTCCTAGCAACAGCCTTGTCCAGTTGTACTGCATGAACTCACTGATTCTGAATAAACTAACATGAGATTGCAATAAGGTATGTGCCAGACTTCTCATCCTGCCAGTTGCACTGCCAGCTTGGAAGTGTCAGGACCTTAGGAAATAACATGAAACGTTATATCTTGAATATATATGTCTTGAATAGCACTTTGAAAAATCACACTGATATTTTAAAAAATACAGTTCATCATCCTCTCTTTCTTTTTTCTTACAACAATCAGCAACACTGTGCCTGCCAGGGAGATAATATTCAAGTTGAAACTGGATTTCTTGTTTGTGGTGAAAAAAACAAAGAGACTTCAAATATCTGACTTGCACACAAAAGGTGAAGGGCACCATGGGGTGCTGTGACTGTTAGAAAATGAAGAAGCTTCTCGTAATTTATAAATAGACTTTACATCCTTTTGAAATGTGGAAAAGCTCATTTAAACAATTATTAAACACAATTTTAAAAGTAGCTGTTTGCTCCAGGATGCAAGATATGGAGGAGCAGCCAGCTGGTGGGATGCAGAGGCAAAGAGGCTGGGGGCGGGGTGGCCTCCCTCTCCCACTGCCCCTGGGCACCGCAGTATATTCTTCTGCTGTCCTTAGCTCTCTCCTGATCAGATCTGTCAAATAAAATACTTCTCTTATTTTATTGTAAGCTTATACTTCATTCTGCTTTTATTATTCAGTGCTACATTCTCCCAGTGTGTAGAAAACCAAAAAATGCACAGTCTTTGCCTTTGAGAAATTACACTTTAAGCATAAAATATGCTTGAAGAAATGAGAGCAGAAACAAAAGAGGAGAGAGACAAAAGTAGCAAGATGGTTTTGCTTTTTGGACCATTAGATTTCATTTATGATTTTGGCCAGTTCTTTATCGATGGGATTCATCTCAGTACACTTTAGTTGCTTAAAATACAGGCATCTGTCCTAAGGTGGGGAACTGGGCTGCCCATAACCAAAGGAAAGCAGCGGATACCTCCAAAGGGGGATTTACCTCTTTAGGGAAAGTATCTAAAGATGGTGGTAGGATGGAGCCGGTAGGGATCCCCATCTTTCTGCATTGACTCTAAAGGAAGCCCAGGTGATTTGTTTAGATTAAATACTTACTTTTCCCAGGCTCAAATAATTTTATTTCTTATTGAAACTTTAAAGAAACCCAGATTTTTTTTCCTGATGTTTTTCACATTTTCATTACAGGGGAAAAAATCCATATACCCAAAGAGACATTTTTATTCGGAATGTCCATTGGAGGAAAACGCGTATCTGTACGAGCTGGTGCCGACTGCCCATCAGTCGGCATCCCAGGGCCAGGCTCTGGAGCGTGCCTGGTGCCTCTGCTCCTGCCCTCTCCCCCACTGCTGGTTGGTGTCTGTGAAGGGAATATGCGCCGAAGTGCTAGCAATTCCTGTCCTTCGTGTGTGTTACGGGTATACCTTGGGCCTAAGAAATGACAACCGTAGGACCTGTGACGACTTGAAAAATCACGCACCAATGCTATCCACCCTCCAGCCAACACGGGACGAGTGATGCATTATAAATCCAGATCCTTTACCAGTGGAGAGATTAAAGAAGCAAGAAAGAAGTTTCTTAATCCCTGCCTCAAGCAGTTTAAAACCTCCTTCTTGCTTGGGGTCCCACATAAATCAAAACACAGGACCAGCTATATTCTGCAAATAAATCTTCCTTGATATTTACTTCTCACATAACTTCTCTGTAACAAAATCTGAATTCTCTACCAAATATGCTAATAAAACATCAACCATTCTATAATTTAGTAGCCTCATAATAATAACTTTCTTCAGTTATATGTCACTCTTTCAGAGAGCACTTGACATACTGCTTACACATAAAAAGTAAGATTAATGTCTTAATATATTATTTAGTCTATTATTTCTTAATATTGAAAGCCACTAAATATAAACCATCTGTACAATAATTAATCATGCATGAGTACAAACCAAATGCAGATTAAATTAGCCTGAAAAAAGTCTCCCACAAGTAATTTCCACAAGCACTTGAGGAAAATAATTTCAAAAAATTTAAGTATATGAATTATTTCTGCTAGAGCGAACAATCATATTAATGGCAGAGGACCTAGTACTGAGCATTGCAATAGAATTAAAGGACAGGTATCTTTTTTTTTTTTTTTCTCAAAGAATAGGAACTACCAAAAGAAAAGCGATGATTAGTTTATAAAACGTATTTTGCACATATAGAAAACCTTCTGTTTGAGGATGTGATGATACTTTACAGACAATCATGAATTAAACCTTACAAGCAATCAGAGGAGAACTGATAACAAATATATCACAACTAAAAATGTGTACCCAAGACAACCTGCCATTCTGAAAACTGGAATCAAAGTGCCACAGGTTTCAACAAAGACAACAAAAACACAGTGGCCAGTTCTGTGCATGAGCTGGTGAATGCCATATCGGAGCTGCTCCATCACCACGTTTCCCGCGACCGCGCTGTACGCCGCACCCCACCCTGCCCCGTGCTTGCCGCTGTGGGCAGTTACAGGCGAAGCTTGTGCTGAAGTGCAAAGCTGTGACTCAAGTTGCCATGTTGTCTTTAGCTTTAAATTGGAAAAAGCCTAGTGCTCACAGCAGTGATCCAGAGCTTGAGCTAATCTGAAGCTGGCTCGATAGGTCCACAGGGGTGCGATCACAGCTTTCAGGTAGGCATGTTTACAGTCACCTCAAAGCCCAAAATCAGCCCTTCCAGACTGTTTGCATCCCCACCGTGAGGAGTCGTCCTTTCTAGCCCGTGTTCAGATAAACCAGTGCCACCAGACTTCTGATGTTAAGTAGCTGTAAAGACTTGGACGTTTGGTTGCAAACCGGACCAAGCGAACAGTTGTTTAATTAAAAAACAGTTAGAGAGTTGTTTGCCAGCACTTTAAGAATCCCAGCCTTCTCTTTTCAGTTGCATGAACTTTTTCTGCCGTGAACTTAACCTGTCACAATTTTCTTTCACTGCACATATTTCCTGATGCCAGAAGCTCCGGCAGAAAGAGTTCACAAATCAAGCCTTTGGCAGGTTGCAGGCTGGGTCTCATTCTCACCTACACCTCGGTGCCTCGGGGGACGCGCTGTCTTCTCCAGCTGAAGCGCACAGGTATGCCTTTGCTTGCTTCCCTCAGTCGGCTGTGCTCGTTTCCAGATGAAACACTTGGCTGTCTGAAACCCAGGTAAGACCTCTTCAGTACTTAATTTTCCTGCTAAGTATGGAACTAAAGTATGTTGGGATTCTGCCGGTCCTTGTTTCTCTGTTAAAGTGAGTCGTGTTTAAAGAGGATCACTGGTATTGAACATCACGGTGTTAGACAAGGTAGGGACTGGGACGTATAACTTCCAAGATTACTCTTATCGGGGATTCTTATACTTTACTGCAGTGCTGTTGCAGTTTAAGTCATCTCTGTCCATTATTCTGCTAAAGTATGTTGGGATTCTGCCGGTCCTTGTTTCTCTGTTAAAGTGAGTCGTGTTTAAAGAGGATCACTGGTATTGAACATCACGGTGTTAGACAAGGTAGGGACTGGGACGTATAACTTCCAAGATTACTCTTATCGGGGATTCTTATACTTTACTGCAGTGCTGTTGCAGTTTAAGTCATCTCTGTCCATTATTCTGACAGA